AAAAAAAAAACCACACAGAGATTCACTATGGGATAGTAATTGAGTATGACAGATAGTTAGGAAAGAAGCTACATTTTAACTATAGCTGTAAAATGACTTTTCAGATCTCATTTTACTTTGGCCAAGCTAAAACTTTCCTGGTACCTTTAGTTTCTCACTGCTCCATTTCACTTGCTTGTTGCTTTTCGATAAGGCTCCAGTACTCAACTAAAGAGGATGTGGGCAGACAACTTTAAGAATTGGGGCATTTCTTCTCTCCGTCTTCGCTAGAAACTGAACCTTTAAAGCACGTCTCAGCTTTTCTCCATCTCTACAAGCTGTATTCATGCTTCTCTCTTTCACTAGCATTGACTATTTACTTTCCACCCAGCATCCCTGGGGCAGCCTGGGTGCTAAACCTATCTGACTTGACTTAGAATTTCTAAAGCACTCTCCAGTACCTTGGAAGCCATGGACTCTGGGAATCCAAGCTGAGATTACTAGCAGACACCCACAGAGGCCCCACAAGGACATTAGTAGCCTAGACTAAATGGTGAGGCCCTGGAAGTCCTGGTAACAATGTTTACCAGGGATCCTGAAGACAGATCAGGTCTCCATAGCCAAGCTAAATCACTCTGAGATTCCCTGACAATATGAGGAAGGTCGGGAGAGGTGGAAATTAGAGACATTCCTTTTGTTCAAAATGTTTTGCTATGAAATTTTTAGAACAGACAGAAAAGTTGAAAGAATTTGACAGTGAACATCCATATACCTAACACCTAGATACTACAAAGGAGAAATCTCATCTTAGTTCTCTGTATCCTCAGTATCTGGCATTTACGCTCAATATGTATTTACTGGGTGAATGAATGAATGAATGCCAGTTTGAGGGATCCAGCTGCTCCTTTAAGTGTCTCTTCTGTCTCTGCAGTACAAAGATCCTCTGGAGAAGACTCAGTTCCAACAAAAGTCGTGGGGACCCTTGGAGGGTCCGTGATTCTCTCCTTTAATATCTCAGTGGACACAGAGATTGAGCATGTCATATGGTCTGGTCCCCAAACGGTCCTTGCTTTAGCAAAAGCAGGAGGCGAAGTTACCATTCTGGACAAACATACTTACCAGACCCAGCTAAGTATCTCCAGTGAAAATTATTCTCTGCGCATCAGCAACCTGACCATGGAGAATGCAGGATGCTACAAAGCTCAGATAAGCATGAAGAATTCTGTTGTCACCACTGATGAGAAATTCACCCTGAACATTTATGGTGAGTTTCTGAGAGCTCTTGTAGGTTTCATCTTTATTTTAAAAACTCAAATGTATCAATTCTTCTACAATCTTCCTTATTCATTGTCCAACTTTCACACAAGTATGAGACAATTGAAAATACCCTGACTTGGATCAGGCACACCTTAGTCCTCAAACTGACATCTTTGCCATTGAATACGTTAAAGAGGTCTTGATCAGTAGATTTGCCTGGTGCAATTCATCATTTTATTTCTTGTCTGCTGCTCCTATAAGAGTTGATAGTGGACCCAAGCAAAATGAGGTCTTTGACAACTTCAATCTTTTCTGCATCTATCATGATGTTATTTATTGGATCAGTTGTTGTGTTTTTATTAGGTGCCATAAGTTGGTAACCACTCATAGCAACTTTATGCACAGCAGAACAAAACACTGCCCGATCCTGGACCAACCTCACTACTGTTGCCACACTTGAGTCCATTGATGCTGTCACTTGGCCAGCCCATCTAGTTGGGGGGTCTTCCTCTTTTTTCTGATCCTCCACCTTACCAAACATGATATCCTTCTCCAGCAACTGGTCCCTCCAGACAATATGTCCAAAATATGAGTGACAAAATTTGGCCATCTTGTCCTCCAAGGAGAACTCTGGCTGTACTTCTTCCAAAATGGATCTATTGGTTTTTTTAGCAGCCCATGGCAATTTTTTAATATTCTCCTCTAACACCATAACTCAAAAGCATCAATTATTTTATGGTCTTCCTTATTCACTGTCCAGCTTTCACATGCATATGAGGTTATTGAAAATACCATGGCTGAAAATATCAAGCGCACCTTAGTCCTCAAGCTGACATCTTTGCTCTTCAACACTTTAAAAAGGTCTTGTGCAGTAGATTTGCCTATTTGAC